TCTGAGGGGGGGGGGGGGGTCGCCGCGTCAGACGGCCGGCCCGCTGGCACACACGCGCCGCTCCCGACACAGGCGCGTACATCAAGGACCTGCTCCAACCTGCCCCTGCCCCGTGGGGGGAGGTCACGTGCGGAACACGGCGTTTAGTGCCCCCTCCCCCCCCCCCCCCTCCTGTCCGACCGTGGCTCACACGCTGTATCAATGAGATATGGACAAAGGGCAGCATACTGGTCAGCACCCAAAGTCGGTGTAGGAAACTCTCCCTCAGCCTGCGTGTGTTCGGTGTCGCAGCTATGCTTTAACAGCAAGTATAGCTACATTATCAGTGCGCCGTTTTCACTGTTATGCAGTGATAGCACAGTATTTATTTCGACACTGGACCTATCCACATGCATGGAAACGCCAATATTTCAACAAAATAGCAACAAACCAAGCAAAAACCAGCCAATCAGCCAACCAACTACCCAACCAACCAACCAACCAACTAACCGATCCCCCACTAAGCCAACAAGCGGTGGTTACAAGCCTGAGGTCCCAGGGGCAACGGAGCCGCGGGGACTGGGTTCCTATCCCAAACCAGCTTATTTCTGAGAATGGACTTCTTTCTTTTCTAGTTTTAGTTCTAGTTATATTTTTACACTCCTCCTTGGGAACAACATAACCACAAATGCCGTGGGTGCCGGTAGTGTAGTGGCTAGGGCGTCTGCGTTAACCACTGCGCGTCTGGGAAACCAGAGGTACGGGGTTCGATTCCCCGCGGTGTCCGCCCTTCCTGCCAGGGTGAGAGGCAGGCGACGCCATAAAGCCTCAGCGGGCTGAGTGCGTTGTAAAGCCCCAATGACACCTACAACCACAACTGACACTGGACCCGTCCACCCACCCAGCACATGCGCTCACGAACTGACCGACAGGCGGGTAGTCCTTCGGCAGCATACGGATGCCCTCCAGCCTCATGTAGCCGCTGTCGCCGTCGTCGAACTCGACGTACATCATGCCCGGCTCTGGCGAGGCGCCCTCCGTCACCGTCCCCGGGAACAGGCCACGCAGCTTCGGCGACCAGTTGGCCAGCACGCGCGTGCCCGGCCGCAGCGACGAGAACGAGACGGGCCGCACCTCGCGCACCTGCCGACCCCGGCCGCCCGGTCAGCAGGGGGGGGGGGGGGGGGGGGGCACGTCTGGGAGGGCGGCGGAGGGGCGGAAGGCAGCTGGTTTGCTGAGTGGTGACCTGGAAACACATCGGGCTTCGAAGACCATAATCCGTGGTCTGCGTTATCATTCCGCCAATAATGGCGGCTGACGTCTGACAGGCAACAGCTTTTGCTGAGCCCGGGAGCCCTACAAACAAGCAGGCACTGTAGCAGCGGCAGCCATGTGGCATACGACCGCACCGTGGAAAAGGTGCACGCTAAAATGACCACCTGGGTTTTGGCACTGCTCATGTACAGCTAACTTCGAAACGTCCCGTTGTGATCATTTTGCGCCAACAGGTAATCTAATGACCATTTCGCTGCCAGCAAAAAGTATGCTGTCGGCCCCCTCGTTCTGCGGCGCCGCCCGGGCGTCACAGCTGGGCCGTCGCTGTGGCCGCCGTACCGCCTGGTTGAGCAGGTCCTCCTGGGTGTAGATGGTGGGCCGGTGGCAGCGCTCGCCCTCCACCGTGACGCCGTACAGGTCCGGCGGCTGGATGGGCCGCACTTGGCTCCGGTAGAAGAGGCCGTCGATCAGCACCAGCAGGCGGGCTTCCTCGGCCAGGTCGGCGGCGGTCAGCGCCGGCTCCAGGCGAGCTGAGCAGAGACACGGGCACCGTCAGCGACACCGACAGCGGCGGCGGCGGCGCACGCCGCAGCGTCACCTCCGAGGCCGGCACGGCCACTGGGACCGCACACGTCACGAGCTGTGACGTCGTCACGCGTCATGACGTCGGTGTGACGTCGGTGGGCCTCTCGAGAAGAGCCGGCGCCTTCACAAGAGTTCGGGCACCAGTTGCCGAGTGATTGGGTCAGTCGTCCCATGACCCGGCCTGACCTGGTACGGCAGCTGTAGGGGCGCTGCGGGGCGCGGGACACTGTACCTCCCCGGGAACTACCGTAGCAGGCGACCACCATCAGTAGGGCTTCAGACGGACCGTGAGTGTGACTGCACGCCTCGAATGCCATCGGCAACCACGACCACCGATGCCGGTGAAGACCAAACCGGAAACGTCCAACCGCACATCGGTCCTCAAGTTGGGACATCAGGTCACAATCAAGGTCACATAGTCAGCCACGAAGTCAGCCAAAAGCCGCATGCAATCAGCCAGCCTTAACTGGCAAATAAGTGTCAATGCAGCAGGTAGACGGGCCTCACAGGTCGCCTCCCACTGCCTAAGAGCTCGAGTCTGACCTGCCCGGCCTGTGACCTACCGGTCTGTGCCTCGCCGTTAGTGGGGGCGGCGGCCGGCTCCGGCTGGGCGGCGCTCGACGTGGCTGCCGACGCCGCCGGCGCCGCCGGGTCGCCGGCGGCCGGGTCCGCCGGCTCCGCCGTCTTTTCGGCGGCGCCGGCGGCGTCAGCGCTGCTGCTGCGCCGCTGCGGAGGCGCCGGCGCCTCCCGGCTGGCGGAGCGCCGCCGGATGACGGCCGGAGGCGCCGCTGGCGCCGGCGGAGGCGGCGCCGGCGTCAGCTCCTCACTGTCGCTCAGCCGGTCCTTGAGGATCACCTCCGCCTTCAGCTTGGGCTTCAGCTTGGGCTTGAGCAGCGGGAAACACTTCTTCTTGGCCACGATGGTCTCGGTGTCGTCGGGCGAGAAGGAGTGCTTCTTGGGCGGGCACAGCTTGCGCTTCTTGCGGCTGGACACGAGCTCCGGATCAGAGGCGGCTGTGTCCGGGTCGGCCGTCTGAGGCACCTTGCGCTTCTTGCACTCAGCCAGCGCCTGCAGACAGCAGCAGGCATCGTCAGAGGGATTCACGGCACACCCACCACGTGGGCCGGTGTGTGGAGCGCACCGGTTGTGCCCAGCGGAGCAACAGGGAAGCTCAGCACTCCATACTACAACAGCCATCAAGTGAACGGTAAGTGCACAGAGCACACTGGTAGCCGAAAAACAATCAATGGTTAGATTCTGAAAGCATGGAAACAGAGTTTACCAACAAACAGACATCAATGGGAGTAATTTCTTATCGTGGCCTATCACATCCACTGTTGAGCTGAGTGCGCCAAGTAAGCCATGCCGCGTGGGGGACCCGTATCCGCGTATCCCGCCTCGAGGCCTAGTGCACTGCAGATCGCCGAAGAACTAATATTCTGATTACAACTGGCCGCGTAGAGCAGATAGCACACCTTCTCACCCCAGCGGCATGATTCGCTGCCGAAATACACCTCGGGCGAAGCCCTGTCACCCCTGCACCAACCAACCAAAACCGAGCTGGCCCATCGTTCCCAAGTCCCCGCCGCCCGCCGGCCGGGCCGTACGCACCCGAATGCCGTTGGTGTATTTATCGTGCTGTCGGCTGGAGAACGAGTAGCTGACGGTGTCGGCGCACGCCGTGTCCTCCCAGACGAAAAGGCGGCCGCCGTCCTCGCTCTCCGTGTCCGACCCGCCGGCCGACACGGCGGCAGCGGCTCCGGCGGCGGCGGCGGCGGCTCCGGCGGCGGCGGCGGCGGCGGCGGCGGCGGTGGAAGCAGTAGCGGGAGCCGTCACAGGGGTCGCGGCGGTGGCGGCCGCGTTGGCGGCGGCGGCGGTGGCGGCCGCGTTGGCGGCGGCGGCGGCGGCGTTGGCGGTGGCGGTGGCGGCGGCAGCAGCGGCGGCAGCGGCGGTGGCGGCGGCGGCGGTAGGCACGGACGCGCTGGGCGGCCCTGCGGCCGGCGAGGCGGCGCGCGGCGGCGTGCGCGCCGAGTCGGAGCGGCGCCGGCCGGCCAGCGAGCGGCGCGCGCCGCGGCCGGCCGCGCGCCGCTTGCTCGGCGAGTCGGCGCTCTTGCGCGGCGAGAGTCGCTGCCGCTTCAGCGCCGCCTTGTACAGCCGCTGGATGTCGGCCAGCTGGGTGCGAATCTGCCGGATACGTGGCGAGTCCTCCCAAAACGGCTCGATGGTGAACTGCACCTGGCGGAGAGGGGCGGCGTCACCGGACCGCCCGCAGGGGAGCGCAAAACGGCGCCTCGCCCGGCGGGAACGGCGGCACGCCCCACTGGCGGACGGGCACTCGGTGGTGCTCTGTCCGAGGCGGACACCGCACCGGCGGATCTGTCACTCGTGAGGCCCGTCACGGGGGCAACTGGCGCCGACCAAACTGCAGATACACATTCATTCAAACTTGCACGAACAATACCCACAACCAGCAGTCAGCAAAAGTCCATCATACCACGCTTCAGAAGCAACGCTTATCACGCCTCTTTTGCTAACGACTAACATAAATTCGGGACAACCACAGCCTGGTGTGGTGGGTCGACACAGGAGACGGGGCGGCACCACCGTCCCGTACCTGCATATCGTCGGCGGTTGTGGCCGGGCCGGCGGCGCGCCGCCTCAGCCAGTGTCGAGCGCGCTCGCCGCTCTCCCGCGAGAGGTACTCGCGCCGGCCGGCAGGGTCCACCGCCGGCCGCGCCGCCATCTGCCAGCGGGGAGGCACGTAGAAGCGACGCTGGCCGGCGCGCGCCAGCTCGGCGTCCGCCACGGCGCAAAGGGCGGCCAGCGCCTGGCTGGGCGGTGGCGGCGGTGGCGGCGGCGACGGCGCCAGCAGCTCAGCAGCGGCCAGCAGCGCCGACCAGCCGCCGGCCGCCAGCCGCTCGTGCACCACGACGCCCTCGCACAGCAGGTGCAGACCGCTAGCAGCGGACGACTGCAGCGGCGGCGGGGGAGGGGGACGGGCAGGAGGCGGCGGTGGCAGAGGCGGCAGATCCGCCGCGCAGACGGCCAGCAGCTGCAAAAGCTCGGATGGACTCTGGGTCTGGCTCTGGCTCTGGCTCTGGCCCGTCGGCTCCGGACTGCCCTCGTTGATGACGAGCGCCGGCGAGCCGCACGAGTCGCTGTCAGAGCCTGCCAGCGGAGAGAGCTCCGCCTCGCTCGGCGGCCGCGACGGCACTGCCGGCTCCGGCGAGCTGGCCGACACAGGCTCCGCCCCCGGCTCCGCTGATTGGTCGGCATCCGGCGCCGGTTGGGTCTCGTCTGGAGATGATTGCTCGGCGTCCGGTGATGATTGGCAGACCTCGGGTGTGATGGCATGAATGTGCGACGCTGATTGGTCGACGTCTGATGCCGACTGGTCCGTGGGCGACGGTTGAGAAGGCGAAGACTGGTCGTCCTCTGCACCTCCACGAGGCGTGTAGCACCCGTCATCGTGGTTTACTGGGGAGGTGCCCTATGAACAGAAGGACAAAAGGACGCATTAATATTTAGCGCTTACTGAATCAAAAGAAGCATGCCAGCCTCCAACAAACTCATATAGTTCGAAATGACATTACTATATTGCCATAGCGCCGATGCCTTGGCACGCATAAGCGGGCTGTTCGACTGTTTCAGTGATGATATGCCTGGACATAAATAAGCCAATGCACTCTTCGGGCCTGTTCGCCGGCTCCGGCGGCCTCGACCGACAGCCGGGCGCGCTGACCTGGACTATGACCTGGTGCTGACCTGTGACCTGGTGCTGACCTCCCTGGCGGCGGGACACGGCTCGGCGGCGGCCGCCATCTCGGCAGGCGGCGGCGCCGGCGGCGGCTCCGGCGCCACCAGCGGCACGTGCGGTAGGATCTGCGCCACAGCCGACACGCTCAGCCTCAGACTACAGACAACAGCGCACGGACGCCGCGACAGGAAGCAGCTAATCGGACGAAGCGAGTGCAGGACAAGCACGCGGAGCTCCAGCGGCATGGTGGAAGTGTCTATTTTTGGTGGCGTCCGTGGTGACGCATAGTCATGTTACATGGGATATTCTCTGGCCTGTTTGAAACTTTTACTCTCGTCTCACTTTACCCTCACTTGCCGGTGACATCTCACTTTACTCTTTTCACCCCCGTCCTGATGGGGAGGGCGGTCCATGCGACCCCTCCCCCCCCGCCGGATTTCGGTACGATTCTACTGGCAAGATGGAGCTGACCCTGTAGGTGCTCTATTGACGCAGTATGAACACATGTCTAGTGTGTATGCAGACACCGTGTACGTACAGATCGCAGCAATCGCTGTAATGTTCGCAACACCAGCGTGGCTACATGCCAGTTAGTTACACTGCAGTGTTACCATTCCTTGCATTGCAATTACACCACCAGCAAAACCTGCACTGCACCACCAGCGCACCCTATACCACCTTGCTACCGCCACCTACCGGCAGCTGTCCGACGGTGGCCATGGTGTGCACGCCGGGCGCGGACGGCACGGCGGCGTGTAGGCTCGGCGCCAGCTGCTGCGGTGACGGCTGCGGCGGCGCCGGCGCCGGCTGCAGGATGAAGGGAGCGGGCGGCTCGGCGTGCGTGTAGTACACCGACTGGGGACGGCGAGGCGCAGGCGACGTCAGAGGCGATCACGTCACTGGCGACTGGACGACAAAAACTGGCCTTCACCGCTGGCCCACGTGAGGCGGCGCGGCGAACTCATTGCACTCGCAAACTGTCAGCGGAGCTCCCCTCCCCGAGACGCGCACCTGCGGCATAACCGCCGCCAGCGGGCACTAGCCACGTCACGGCCCCGTTGTCACACGAGCGCCGGCCCGGCTGGGGGTGTGGGTCACGCAGCCTCTGACCTGGAGCGGCGCCGCCGGGATTATGTACTGGACGGGCAGGGGCGGCGCACTGCTCGGCGACGCCGGCACGTGGGCCGGCGCCGGCTGAATGGGCTTCAGGCGGCTCGTTGGGTCCTCCTTCTTCAGGCTCTGCAGCGCGGAGAGAAGGCGCCCGTCAGGCACGGGACATGCGAGTAGAGAGGGATATTAAGTGCGATGAACAAATGTGAGGCGGGTGGAAATTAGGTGGGACGTAAAACACGTCAGCTAAGAATAAAAGAAACAGCAACACGACAAGCGTCAAACTTATACCAATAAACACGCATCTTGCCTTTCAGGTGCCGCTTGATTGCTTATATGGGCCTGACCTTACCGTGTTTAGCTGGCGAACACTACAGAGAAGCCAAAACAACGTCATCCTGACAGCACTGCGCTGTGAGTTATGGGGATGCGCAGGTCGGTTGCTGGCCATCGGAAGCGTAACAAAACAGTGAGCACGGGTCGAGACGCACGTAATGCATCGAGGCAAGGCCAGAACTCCACCCATCTGGCGGAGATGCCAACAACTCCACTTACATGGTTGCCGGTAGATGTCAGCAGCGGCGCCTGCTCCGTGGGCGACTGCTGGATGTATAGCTGCGGCGGCTGGGATGGCAGGACCGTCAGCTGCTGGGACTGTAGTGGCGGCATACACTGATACGGAGACCACAGCACGGCCGGCCGCGGCGCCGGCTCTGCTGCAACACGTCAGGTCAGCACAGGTCAGGGCAGGTCAGGTCAAGACAGCACGGACACAGCCGGCCAGCTCAAATGTTGTGGTAGTGGTCAGGGCGACACGGGTGACACGATATCAGCAAGTGTCTGGTCAGGGATTACGCATCATGTGAGACCGGCACAGGTCACGTCAGGTCAGCACAGGGTCAGGTCAGCGCGCAGTCAGATCAGAATGACCTCACCTCAGGCCTGGCAGGGCCATACCTCCACGGGGTCAGGTCACCACGGTTACTTGCTCGGTGAAGTCTGGTGGGAAGGCTTTTTTCCCCGTACCGAGCGCGGGCCAGCTGGGTCGGGTCAAGAGGCCACTCACCAACAGTGCGAGGCACCAGCATCCAGTGGCCGGTGGTGGGGTCGCTGTGCAGCTGGTAGCTCTGCGGATAGCCGGTGAACAGCGGCGTCGCTGCGAACCGAACACGCCGTCGGTGACGCACGCCGCACAGAGCCGGGTCGGCGGCGCTCCGACGGCCCGCCGCTGGGCCGCTGACAGGCCGTCGTGACATGGCCACATGGCCACATGGCCACATGGCGCATATGGTGATATGGCAGCACGGTAACTGGTGCCATGGTAACTGGTGCCATGTTGGCATGGCGACACGACGACAAGGTGACGAGGTGGCATGGCGGAATGGTGACATGGCAACATGGCGACATGGTGATATGGAGGCATGGTGAGCAGACAGACCCCGCGGACCCGTTACAAAGCCGGGGCAACAAAGCACGTTTCTCCAGCCGCCACAGTTCGTTTAATTCAGTTGGCCCATCCTCAACAACGCCAAACGACATGTGTGTAGCCAGTAAACAGCGTTATACAGTGAAGTGAGAACACACCCAGCTAACATTTACAACATCAAGGCACGGGCCAGGGACTGCTCAAACAACCTGTCACACTTGGGGACTTGTGATGCAACACGAGATAATTAAATTACTTGAAATCGTACGAACACTCCTTCCCTCATCGGCACCAACCGAATCGGCGCCAGGCGAACTGGCGCCAGCCCAGCCGGCGCCAGCCCAACCGGCGCCAGCCCAACCGGCCGGCGCCAGCCCAACCGGCGCCAGCCCAACCGGCGCCAGCCCAACCGGCCGGCGCCAGCCCAACCGGCGCCAGCCGAACGCGTGCCGTCCACGGAATCGGACACATCTGGCGCCGAAGCCCTGCCCCCCGAGCTCGTGGCGCTCGACACACCCTACTCCGGCCGGGCCGCTCTTCGAACGCAAAGCCGGGAGCCCGAGACGGCGGCGCGTGCACGCGCGTGTGTGACCTTGGCGGTGACCTTGGCTCGGGCCGTCGCTCACAATCGATGCCGGAGGCCTGACCCGGCCGCGTCGAGCCCTCAGGCGCCGTGGCGACGTTCGACCCGGCGTCCGGCGATGTGACGTCACGCCCGGTGCGTGACACGCGAACGACGCCGGACTACACCCCCCCCCCCCTCCCCTCCCCTCCCGAACCGACGGTGGACGGAAGCGCCAACGGACGACGCGCGCCCGGGCCCGACTGATAAGCGGACCAGAGGGCTAGAAACTTGGCCGACTGTACGTGCTTCATGTTCAAAGTGAGGGTGAACCGGCTACGCAGAGTTGGGGTATGTGCCACAACGATAAAGAAAACCACATCCCTGGATCGTGATTGCGTGGAAACATGGCATGACATGGTGCACTGGCTATCCAATACCGGCGTGGTAAAGCACCATGCCTCCATTCTTCCGACGCGATCATGATGTAATTATAATCATGATATTACATGATATCACTACCCGTCAAGTACTGGCTCGCGTCGCACACGCGCCTAGGTTAGGCTGCAGCTCCAGAGCTTAAGAGTGGGTCTGGGGTGTCGGGCCCGAAATAACTCACGGGTGGGTCTGGAATGCGGTCCGGAGTGGACTCCAAAGTGGGTCTGGAGTGCCGGACCCGGAGTGACTCAAGAGTGGGTCTGGAGTGCCGGACTTGGAGTGGTTCAAGAGTGCGTCTGGAGTGCCGGACCCAGAGTGATTCAAGAGTGGGTCTGGATTACCGGACCCGGAGTGATTCAAGAGTGGATCTGGAGTGCCGGATCTAGAGTGACTCATGAGTGGATCTGGAGTGCCGGGTCTAGAGTGACTCATGAGTGGGTCTGGAGTGCCCGATCTAGAGTGACTCATGAGTGGGTCTGGAGCGCCGGATCTAGAGTGACTCTGGAGTGGGTCTGGAGTGCCCGATCTAGAGTGACTCATGAGTGGGTTTGCAGTGGCGCGTCCGGTTTCCGTTGTTCATGTTTTGTTTTGTTTTGTTGTTGTTTTTTGCTTTGCTCACGTGTTCATCAAGCAAGCCGTGCTGCACTGATGTTGCTGATTTCATCGCCATGATTCATAACACACAGCAAAGATCGCCTACACCATCTCTTGCAATTTAAAAATGGCATGGCTCTGTTGAGAAAAATGTTTTCGTGTTGTGAATATTCCAGTCCTCCCCTTTTTTCATGAGTAAACTAAATCCCAGCATAGCTGTAATCGTCTCTAGCAGCATGACGTTGAAAAATTGATCGTCTTCTGACGAGCGTAGTAGTAACAGGCTTTTTAACGATTTTAAATGGCAGGACCAGGGGGTGTGAAACTACACCCCTATTACGAGCTTCAAAGCAGCCTCCATTATCCGCCATCCGTCTCGAATATTGTCAGCTTACAGAAAAACAGACGGCGACAGTTACAACTGATCAGCCATCTTGGAACATACGCATATCCTCCTTCCCCGAACAGCTGCCCTATTCCCTCCCATCCAGGATGCAACGAAAGATGGCCTCCTCCTGTCTGACGCCACGCGCACTCGCCGTCCGCCAGACCGGCGTCTGTGTCCGCCAGACCGGGTCTGTGTCCGCCAGACCGGGTCTGTGTTCGCCAGACCGGGTTTGTGTCCGCCAGACCGGGTCTGTGTCCGCCAGACCGGGTCTGTGTCCGCCAGACCGGGTCTGTGTTCGCCAGACCGGGTCTGTGTCCGCCAGACCGGGTCTGTGTCCGCCAGACCGGGTCTGTGTCCGCCAGACCGGGTCTGTGTCCGCCAGACCGGGTCTGTGTCGCCAGACCGGGTCTGTGTCCGCCCGCCTCATTCAGGCGCGGCTGAGGCCTGTGACCTGGGCCGAGATCCCTCCGGCAAACGGTCAGCGGCCGCCGCAGTTCCCTGTATGTCATCCTGTTTGGGACGGCGAGACGGCGGCATCCGGCACAGCTCTATGAAAGAAGGGAAACTGAGTACGCTTCATGCGTAATTTGGGCTCGCAGACGCATTGCAGCCAAGGGACTAAGGCGAGCAAAAATGACATAGCTGACCAATGAGCCTCCATACGAGCAAATAAGCCATTTATGGACCCGCGAAAAGACAGCCAGTTTCACATCGAAATGGGCGCTCGACCATAACACTGTGGAGTGATCAATTATTGACGCGATTCATAGAAGGGACCAGCGACGAGGCTGAGACTCGACCGCAGCGAGTGCACGCCATTTTGAAGCAGGAGATGATGATGCCTCGGGTCTAGGTTGCTTCAGAGCACGCAACATGCACTGCCACACGGACGCCGAGACTGCACATTTGACCACGGACCACGTTTGAAATCGACCCAGACTAAAGCTCAAGGAAAAAAACATCGACGGGTTTTCCGTCGTAATGGAGCTTTGGTCTCACGAGAATGTCCGGCTTTTGAACCGAGGGTCGCCATCCTTCCAAACGGACCGCCTCCAACGGCACGTGCAGCGCTCGCCAGCATGGCTACGTCCCTGCCTCTGCCCGCCCACACCAGCCCCGGCCCGACTCCAGTGCCGGCGGGCGCGCGCGCCCCTGCGCCTGGCGGCGGCCCGCAGGTCCCGGTCGGGCTCCGTCTAGCCGACGTAGCGCGCGCCCCTGCGCCTGGCGGCGGCCCGCAGGTCCCGGTCAGGCTCCGTCTAGCCGACGTAGCGCGCGCCCCTGCGCCTGGCGACGGCCCGCGGGCCCCGGTCGGGCTCCGTCTAGCCGACGTAGCGCGCGCCCCTGCGCCTGGCGGCGGCCCGCAGGCCCCGGTCGGGCTCCGTCTAGCCGACATAGCGCGCGCCCCTGCGCCTGGCGGCGGCCCGCGGGTCCCGGTCGGGCTCCCTGTAGCCGGTGTAGGGCGCGCCCCTGAGGCTGGCAGCTCTATAGCTGACGGTCAAGCGACGGCGGCGGCTATGTCACCGCCGTCCCTTGGCGTCGCGAGCTGTCGCCTGCACGCCTCGGCGCTGGCGAGACGCACGGGCCCCGTGACGGTGCTGGTAATTCGGCTGTTTATCTGTGGTAAGCACACAGCATGGATTTGGGCGTAATGGCGCCGGTGGGGCCCGCAATTTCTTCTGTACACCGGTGAACAGCGCCAGCTGACTGTCGACAGCTGACGGGACGCAAAGTTGCCCGGTCGAAGTGATCCGAAGCTGCCTCCGGTGCGGCCGCCACCCACCGTCACCCAAAACCCGACACTGGAACCGGAGCCGCACCGGCCGCCGTCTTCTCCCCGTCAGCCCCGCGGGCGGGGGCGCGCGCTCCGGGCCGAGTTGAGCCGGGCCGGGCGGGGCGGACCGGCGGCGCTGCCGCCCCGCCTCGTCCGGCCGCCTCCCGGCCGGTGGCGCCGCCACACGGCCAGCGCGCGCAACTAGCGGCCCGGCCGGCCGGTCGGTCGTCACCGCTGCCGCCGCCGCCGCCGGCGTCGACCGCACGGCAGAAACGGGCCGCACGGGGGCCGCCGCCGAGCTGGGACCGGTCCGAGGTGGGGATTCGAGCGCGACTCTCTGGGGTTGCCAGCTGGCGCTGTGGCAGCCGATGACTGACGCCGGCAGGGACAGTCGCTCACGCGCGGCGGACGTGCGACAGTGGATACAACTCGCCCGCTCCACAGCACCGGCCCGATATCTCACGTGACAAGTATTCGGCAATGAACCATTTAACGCCACTACATGGCTTCATCGTACTGGCCTAATGAAAAATAGGTGATTGTTCTTGTACTACACCTGGTCAAAAATTATCACTTCAAAAGAAAAAGGAGAAACAGGGGGAAAAATCAACCCCGGCAAACCTTCGAGGCCTGGAGGGGTGGTCGCTATCAGTGCCCGTGCTTAGACCAAATATGTTGCAGAATTACTACCACGCGAGGGAAACTGACGCATATAAAAAATAATGTCACCGCATAAATCAACGGGGGCCCCGCAGCATATTTCAGCATGAGACCCTTTTTCAGGCGGGCCCAATCCCTTAAAGAGCATCTGCTCACACATCGGCGGTAGAGCCGACGCCGTACGTGCTGCGCTGTATTCCCCCCGCGCGCGGCGCGTGAGGCGGCGTTCGTTTCGCCGTCGCGTCCAGCGCTGATCAGGAGCTGCATCAGGACCTGCTCCGACCGACCGCATCGGACGTGTCCGACAGCGCTTTCCAGAGCCAGGCTCCAAGTGCCGCTTTGGGTTGTCAGGCTTGGAAATAGTAGAACCGTGAAAACAGCTTACAAGCAGATAGGGTCGCCACTTTATGGGTTCCATTCTGAGCGCCTGCGCCCCTCTCCTTTCAACACTAACTTGAGCCCTCACCCCCACCTCAACCCACCCCAATGCTCCTCCGAGGACCCGCCCAATGCTTCTGAGCAGAGCGAATGCTGGGCTAAATAAATACAGAAAACGATTTAAACTATTGGTGTGGTAGGTACCTAGACACATCACTATCAATACCATGTTAACTGTGTAACAAATATGCATTCTTTAGGTATTAAATATTGTTGTCATGACAACTCCTTCATACGTCAGGCGAGCCTGCAGCTGTCTGACAAGTTTTTCACATGATAACACCTGGATTGGGATAAAGAACAGCTGACTGTAACGTGCAGCACCTCTTTAAGTACAGGACAGCCCGGATAAAAGCTCGCCCATCTTTCCCAAAACAGTGGCGAGTGAAATTGTTGAACAATCGTTGGTGTGATGTTTACTTGACTGGCGGTTGAATGGCCTCCAATACCGTCAATATACTGCAATACTGCAATAGCGCGGGCCACCAGGGATTCCTAAGACTTGCTAAGATGCTGTGTTGTGAATTGCACTCCATTCTAATCTTCTCACAAAAAGGCGGCTTCACATCGCCTTGACAGTGGGCGGACATTCCTCAAAGTCACGCAATATGGAATCTACAGCATATTTTTGAAGAGTTCTTTTCTATTCTAGCACCGGATACGCAAATTAAAATGGCAGCAAATCATGGAAGAAATCATGTTTTAGGGTAGGTTAGGCCAATAGTATTGGCTTGCCCCCCCCCCCCCCCCGGCCAACCAGTTTAAGAAAATGGCGCTCCTGCAAGCAGTTGCCTCGGCTGATTAGTTCGTCGAAGCTAATAAATTATGCTGATTGTCTGTGCCAATAAAATTGCAAAGCGATAAACGCAGATGCGCCCATCATTTCACAGTAAAAAAAAATGTAGAAGACACGTGGCAAGCATGGGTGCATTAAAATAAATGTTGGAAAAGACCGATCTTTTAGGAGAAACCTTTCTGTCCTACGGTGTCTTGGCACGTAGCCAACAGCTCGACCTCCTCCCCCCCCCCCCCCCATAGTGACATGTGATCTCACCTGCGTAGGGCGTGGTCTGGCCCAGCCAGACGGAGGGAGGCGGCGGCAGGTGGGCGGGGCCAGGCGCCGTCGGACCGCCCATGCTCCAGCCGGCCACGCCCATGTCCCGACCGGCGCCCGCCCACACACTGGGAGCTGTGAACCCTGCCGGACGGAGGACAAGCACGGTCACCGGCGCGACACAGCACGTCAGGGCCGGGCTTCAGCGGGCCGAGCGGGCCGCTCCACTCAGCCACCAGGCCGGTGAGCACCCCTGCAGGTGGCGGACCGCTCCACCGGGCCGGCCGCTCCGCCGAGCCGGCCGCTCCACTCAGCCACCAGGCCGGTGAGCACCCCTGCAGGTGGCGGACCGCTCCGCCGGGCGCGACGCCAGTGGTCGGGTCAGCCGGACCCGGCCGGCGGCCACCGCCAGGGCGGGGCCCGCGCGCGCCAGATTGCTCCCCGCGTGCTCCGTCTGCCGCTTATCGCGGACGGCAGGCTTGATTTCGCCACGCATCCCAAGAGCGCAGTCCATGCAGCAGTGAGCCAGACTCTGGATGCTGGCAGCGACCGTTCGAGTCCATCGGGTGAGAGTGCAGCACGCCTGCCCCTCTCCCAGCACACGTGAAGCGCCCCCGGAGCCCGCAGCTCTTCCCAAGTCCAAGCCTCGGGCCCAGCGGCGCTGCGTCCGAAGAACCGCCCTCGATCCCAATGTGCACCTCTCCAGAGACTTCAGAAAGGCTTCGCCCCTGACGCCTGCACCACCGCCACCAGCTGAGGGTTGAACTCCGAGTCGCACACTGGACAGGTCCAGTAAGCCGGCGTACAGCGACTACCGAGCCGTCACGAGCCCAGGCTGACTGGCGTGCCGGCCCGCAGACCAGCGGGTCCGCGCTCACCAGCGCTTTAAATCGCTCGCGCCCCGACGGCCGGTGCGCGCGCCGCCACGCCAGCCCCTCCCGGCACCGCCGGCACTGCGGGGGAGGGGGGAGGGGCGGAACGGACCCTCTGTTGACGGGCGCCGCGGCCGGCCAGTCCCGGGCGGAGCCGGGGGGCCGGACCGGGCCACAAAAACATCTCCCTGGACCCGGACCCCCACCCCTCCCCACAACTCCCTCGGCCTCGGGCGAATGCTTCGCGTCGGTGCCGCCGCCGCCGCCGCCGCCGCCGCCGACCGGGCGGCCCGGGACAGCTGTGCTCACAGAGGCGCCGGCCGGCCGCCGCCGCGCCGCCGCGCCGCCGCGCAGCGCAAGGCGGCGACTGGCGGGAGGTTGGCACCTCCTGCACAGCGACACTGACGGCGCCCCGTCATCAGTCCCGGCTCTGCTTGACTCAACAGATGGAGTCGGTGTTGGGTCCGGAAAAAGTTCAATTGTTGAGAAGTTGAGATTGGATCGTTTCTATTTGGAATTTTGGGGAATCGGAAACAGGGTTCAGACAAACCCATCAATTGGAGCGGTTTTGCTGTTATCTTCGCTCAAATTGAAGGGCACGTAACAGCAAAACCGCTTATTTTGGCAGCTGCTTTAGGTATGGCAAACACAATAAAACAGTTTGTGAAACGCGGAATGTTTTGAGGCGCATTATCCAATCAGACGTCAAACACAACGCTTTTTGGCGTTAAAATATTTTCATCGTTGACTGTTTTCATCGCAATGAACTTCATCGAAACCGAATTCGGAATTAGGCCAGACCGCCTTGAGTCGCGGTCGGAGTGGATTAAAATTTGGGCAGTGCTTCCCGGAGGCAGCATAAGAGCGCAATGAGCCGGATCCCAGAGTCGGAACTCGCAGTCGATTGCCCCAGAGCTCGGAGTCGATTACCCCAGAGCTTGACGACGATTCCCCCAGAGCTCGGAGTCGATTATCCCAGAGCTTGACGACGATTACCCCAGAGCTCGGAGTCGATTACCCCAGAGCTTGACGACGATTACCCCAGAGCTCGGAGTCGATTATCCCAGAGCTTGGAGTCGACTACCCCAGCGACGGAAGTCGATTACCCCAGAGCTTGGAGTCGATTACCCCAGAGCTCGGAGTCAATTGCCCCAGGGTCCTGAGTCGATTACACCAGCGCCCGGAGTCGAGCAGAACTCTGGCGTGCGGTCGTCCCCGCACGCATCGGTCTCATTGCAGCCACGTCTGCTGATTGATGGTGCTCGCGTGCTTCGACATCGCGCAGCATGCGCCGCCCCCTCCTGTCCAGCCGTTGGGAGTGTGGGGGCGGGAGGGGGGGGGGGGGCGTTGGTCAAGCTCGACTTTAATGGCTGGCGGACTTTGTCCTCCAACCCTGAGCAGGAGCTGGCTTCGGTCCGGCGCCGCACAGCGAAACACGGGTCACCGGTGGAGTGGGGCATTAGGGGAAGAGTAATGAGCTTTTTGCTTTAGTTCGGCTGGAATCAGAGCCAGTTCGGCCACCCTCGGTCATTTAAGGGTTGCCGGATGGAGCGGAGAGCCAGCGGTTGGGCAGTGCTGCGGCCGCCGTGAGAGCTCTCGGGTGTTACCCCGGGAAGGTTCTCCGGCTCTGTCTGTCTCCGCTGAGAACGATATGCGCACAGGGTGCTGCAGAGTGCGCGGGGGCAGAATCGGGTGCGGCGGGTGTGGCAGCAGCCGCGTCACGCATCACTGAAGCAGTGATGATTTCCCCCTTCCCCATTGAAGGATGCCGCTAGAACGGCTTCAGTCAGTCGGGTTTTCTCGGTAGCGTCCATTGCTGAGAAGGACGAGCTGTACATAAGGTAGCCGATCCTTCCTCCTCCGCTCCCACTCCCAGTCCCACTCCCACTCCCACTCTCAGTCCTAGTCCCAGTCCCAGTCCCAGTCCCAGTCCCACTCCCACTCCCAGTCCCAGTCCCAGTCCCAGTCCCAGTCCCAGTCTCAGCCTCAGCCCCAGCCCCAGTCCCAGTCCCAGTCTCAGCCCCAGTCCCAGCCCCAGTCCCAGTCCCAGTCTCAGCCCCAGCCCCAGTCCCAGTCCCAGTCCCAGTCCCAGTCCCAGTCCCAGTCTCAGCCCCAGTCCCAGTGCCAGTCTCAGCCCCAGTCCCAGTCCCAGCTCCAGTCCCAGTCCCAGTCCCAGTCTCAGCCCCAGTCCTAGCCCCACTCCACCCCCAGACCCAGCCTTCCTCCCCACACAGGGAAACACCAGTCGCTATACTGGCGGCGCGGACTCTGTTTGGAATACGATAAGCAGAGGTGTGGCTTCAATGAACAAACAGCAGTTGGCACATAGCACACGATCCCTCATCGACCACACGGCAACTTTGACCCGAGCTGTTCCTCTTCTTACGGAAGTGTTTTAGATTGTCGTCGCCTCGAGGCAGTCAGCGAATGGCCGCTAAACAATAGCACGCTGATCGAACTGCTGCATTCATCAAGACTTCAAGCTGTAACTAAGATCCGTTGCACAGCGCGCGACACCACTACCACAGCGGAAGAGGGGGGGGGGGGGGGCGGGGTGTGAAGCCCGGTTGCGCCATGGCTCCTGAACGCTGATTTTGCCCCTGCATTCGCTGGCGCTCCACAAAAGGGTGCGCGACGACGTGCGTTGCGTTCCCTTTTTAAAATGTTGCATGCCCGCAGCGTACATCTAACTTTTAACTACACCGCTTGGCGCAGTGCATGAGCACTTTCACCAGAGCAGCTGTACTCGATTTCGGCTGTTTCGCCGCCTTCCGCGGATTGTGAGGCCTGTACGCTCTGCTGCAGACCCCAACCCAGATGAGCTCGGGCAAAACTTCAAAAACAGCGCCCGAGAAGAGTCCACAAGGCTCACTCGGGTCGTCTGGGGCACGTCCTGCGGTCTCATCTCGTCTTATATTTCCGTGAGGATCGGATCCACTGAACCAAAATCTCGTTGTTGCCCTCTCAGAGCACTTTGAGGTAAGTTCCTCCGTGGTGCCTTGTCATACGGACAGCTGGTCCAAGCCAGAGCATGACGCCACCTGTATTAAGGGGTAACAAGAGATTGCTTATGACCAGCCAATGGCCCAACATGACCTTGGTCTCACCTTGCTCCACGCCTACGATTGTTATCAAGGGTGTAACTACGTATCTGAGACGGTAGGGGTCAAGCTGAAGTATCAGCCGTAACAAGCCAGCCTGAAACTGGCATTTTGCAAGGGAAAACATGAAAAAAGAGTACTCTTTGGCAGGAACTGGGGGAGACAACATAACATTTAATGACAATTGGCGAAGTCATGTTCCCCGCTCCAGCTCGTGATTTGGGCCCCAGCCCATGATTGTCATACGCGACGATAATGTTGGCGAGCTGCGGATGTTCTGCTTACTATCCGCTCCTCGGAAGATTTTCGACATTGGACAACACGCCAACTCGATATTTAATGTCCCACAGGTTGAATATCCCACAGAGTAGTCGTTTCAATTCAGACCATTAGCAGAGATCGCACATGAGCCAATCCTTTGCCAGTTTCAGCACTTGTCCCCCCCCCCCCCCCACCCCTCCGACCTTGGACTCGAGTTACCATGGTGAGGGTCACAGGCGCGGATGAAGTTTATTAGATCAGTCCCTTCAAAGATACTTGACAGTCCGATGCAGGTGGCAAGATGCATTACTGATGGCGGATCAGCACGTTTCGTTCAAGCAGAACATTGAGAACAAGGCTGTACCTTGTTGACTTCAACGGCGAGAACAAAAGACGTTGCCGCCAGATGTACAAGGATTTGAGCTCTTCTGGTCCGAATCTCATTGTAATCCAGCAAGCCACTTGCACTAAGCATGCAAAAATGGTGGGAGTGCACTCCCTATTCTGGCGAAGGCTGGGCAACGAACGGCACAACTTCCGACATGCACGTGATGAACACTGGGCAGTAACCACAATGCCCACAGGGAACCCAGCAGTGCTGAAATTCCCACAGAGAACACAAGAGTGTCAAATTTTCACAGAGAACACAGCAGTGCTTAATGCCTACAGAGAATGCAGCAGTGCCCTAATGCCCACAGAGAACACTGCAGTGCCCTGATGACCGGCATTTTCATATGACGCACGGAACCCCCTATAGAACACACAGACAATGTGTGTGCCCGTGTATGTCACTGATATGAAATGGCTGTCAAAGGAAACCAACGGACCGAGCCCGCGGCTGGAGGGAAGACGGCTGGCGCCAAATGGGGCCGGGGGAGCCGAAGCAGGCAACAGCCCGGCCATACTTGGG